ACTAAGGGGCCAGGGGTAACCCTGTCATAATGCTGGAGTGAGGGAATTTCATTTATTTACTTATTTTTTTAGGTCTCAATCTATGATATCATCAATCCAAGGATCTACCAAAGTGGAAACTCCTTGAACCAAGGCAAAGTGTCAGATCCTAGGTATCTTATTGACTTAGAGAGTTACCTAGAATACTGAGAGGTGGTGACTTGCCATGAGCTAGCAGGAGTCAAAGACAGCACTTTACCTAGTTCTCCTCAACTCTGAGGCTGGCCCTCTATCCACTAAGCCACACTACCTCTTATGGTGTCTAAAATAACTCTGTTATGGGGTTTGGGGGTCAAGGAAGGGAGAAGTGTCCAGGATGGCGCTTGCACTCCAGGCTTCCTGTGCAGAGGAATGTGCATCATCGTGTAGTAGTACTAATAGTCAGCATTTATATAGCACTTCCTGTGGAAAGGGCAGCTAGATAGATCAGTGGAAAGAACTCTGGGTCTGAAGTCAGGAAGACTTGAGTTCAAATCTGGCCTCAGATACCCACTAGTTGTATGACCCTGGGCAAGTCACTTAACCTGTTTGCCTTAATCCCCTGAAGAAGGAAATGGTGGGGCACTAGAGTCACTTAAACCCAACTGCAACCCCCACCCCGCCCAAGAGAGAAAAAAGGAAATGGCAGACCACTCTAGTATCAGTTGCCAAGAAAACCCCATGGACAGTATTGACACCTGAACAACAATAACATGTGCCAGACACTGCAAAGCACTTGACAATTATTATCTCATTTGTCTCATTACCATCGCATATCTTATTATCTCATGATCTCATTAGATCGTCACAACTTTTGGGCGTTATTATTATCTCCATTTTACAAATGGGGAAACTGAGGAAAACAGTGGCTTCCTGACTCCAGGTCAGGGTCTCTGTGTGCTAGCTAGCTGCCTCTGAGGGTAGATATGGTTTGAAAATGACTAGATGGCAGCCGAGGTCCCTTCCAGCTCTAGAGCTATAAAATGACTTATTTCTCATCAGGAAGACAGAATTTCACCATCATTTTCAGCCAAGAGTCTTTCTCATTGTCTATCACCTTAATAGGCAGGCTAGTGTTGACAAGGGCCACATTGTGCCCTCTGGAGCAGTGACCTGACCTTTAAAAGTTGCCTGGAGAATCCAGATTACAGTTTCTTTATCTCACCAGTAAACAAGAAGTCACTAGCAATTTGGGAATCTGTTCTGCTTAACTGTGCATATTTTTAACAAAAGTTGTTTTGTTTTTGTTTTTGTTTTTGTTTTGCCCAGTGGGGCAGAATAAGATAGAGAGAAAATAAATTTTTGGCAATTGAAAATTTTTTTAATTAAATTTTAAAAATTAAACCATTGACAGAAGATACATCCCTAGGTCAACATTGATATTTGTAGAAGGTTTGGCTACCTTGGGTCCAGAAAACCACCACTGCTACCCCCAAACAATCAGCATTTAAAGTGTTTATTTAAATGTTGAAGAAAAAGCATCAAAACTTAAGCAGTACTCTGGGTTTAGGTATTAGTCTGTCAGAAAGTTTTATTCAATTTACATTAACCTGTATCTAAGCCATTTCTAGTTTGGAGAAAGAAAGATGTCCAAACTAACTGAGTCCTCCCAATCCTTCAAATGAGTGCAATAATTTTACCAAATAAAGTTACTCTAATTTCGGGTACTGCCATGATCAAGTTACATCTCTGGAGAGATGGAAATCCAGTTTGAGAGCTGCCACTGAGCAGGTCTGTTTGCTGGGAATCCTTTGGGTCAGAGTTTCTTAATCTATTTTACATTGGGGATCCCTCCGACAGTCTGAGGAAGTTTATAGACCGTTTTAAAATGTTTAACATGAAATATGTAGGATGACAAAGGAAACCAATTATATTGAAATAAAGATGTAATTCTTATGCAGGTTTACTGAACGCCCCACCATCACCACCACCTCTGCTGCCCCAAAATCGCTGCTGCCCCAACATCGATCCATGAAGTCCTTGCTTTGGAAGGTAGTAGGTAAGGGGTGGCCTTCAGGTTAAATAAGAGTCCCTACAGATTCACTAAATGCGCAGGCCCATCCTGACACGTACTTCTCTACAAATTTTTTGAATAATCTATAAAGACCCCTTTGTAGGATGTAGCCTAGAATCTGTTGTGACAAGCCTGTTTAATTTTTCTAAAGTGGTTAAGTGAACCAGGCCTATCTCATACAGTTATTGGGGGAAAATTGATTTACAAACCTTAAAGTGCCCCGCAGATGTGAATTGTTATGATTATTATAATTGTTGTTGTTGTTGGTCATTCCTCAGTCTTCTCCGACTCTTCCTGACCCCATTTGGGGTTTTCATGGCAGAGACACTGGAGTAGTTTGCCGTTTCCTTCTCCAGCTCATTTTACAGACAAGGAAACTGAGGCAAACAGGGTTAAGTGACTTGCCCAGAGTCACACAGCTAGTAAGTGGATTTGAATTCATGAAGAGGAGGCTTCCTGACCCATCATTCCATCCACTGCACCATCTTGCTGCCCTAATTATTTTAACATATTTTCTCAGATTTGCTATCAGAAATGCCATCCCCAAGAGACATGAAAATGCTTCCAAACATTAGCGTATCTTAAATAAAAACAATCTTGATGTAGTTTCTAAAATAACCTGATCTAAATTGTATAATGAAGTTCAATTCAGTCCAGCAAAAGGTATCAAACATCTACTGTGTCCAAGGTGTAATGCTTAGTACTGGGGGAGACTCAAAGTCTAGATATAGACAGCCCCTCTTGTCTTCCCAGAACAGGGACTTGACACATGCACAACCACATTTCAAAATCATACATGGTAACTATACATGAGAGAGGTATGAAGTGCTATGTGAGGTCTGAGGAGGATTAAATAATTTCACACTGTAATCAGGGAAGGCCTCATGGAGGAGGTGGCCCACGAAGGATGGGTAGGTGCTCCATAGGGGAAAGCAGAAGGGGGAGGCAAAGAGTGCAGGCAGAGAGAGACTGGATTGTATCGGAGAGGGAAGGGTACGAGGTGACAGGGTGTGTTTGAGGGAGAGTGAGTGCTCTAGGCTGGCTAAAACATGAAGTCTGTGGAGGGAAATCGTGTGAGAAAAGGCTTGAAAAATAGGTTACTGCCAGATTGAATATCAAGCAAAACAAACGAAACTTTACCTAATAGGACTGCAAGATATTGGAGTCAAACTAAATGATATCTAGCTGGCACAGTGGATAGAACATTGGACCTGGAGTCAGGTCCACCTGAGTGCAAATCTAGACTCAGTCACTTACTAGCCCTATGACAAGAAGCAACTCACTTAACCTTTGCCTACCTCAGTTTTCTCATCTGTAAAGTGGGGATGATAATAGCACTTACCTCCCAGAATTGTTGTGAGTATTAAATGAGATAATATTTGCAAACCTTAAGACACTATGTAAATGCTAGTTATTTTTATTAAGTCATATGAATGTTCACAGAGATCAGCTAAAGACTTGGGAGGGAGGCCCCTCAGGGAATGACATTAGCTGACATTTATATAGCACTTTAAAGTTTGAAAAACATTTTACTTATACTATCTGTTTCAACCTCATAGCAGCTAGGAATTATTATCCCCATTTTACAGATGAGGAAACTGTGACCCCCAAAAAGGCAATCTTGATAGTATTGTCAAAGGTGGGACTTGAACTCTTTTTGACTTTAAGGTTCAGCACTCTATATACGGTGTTCCATAGTCCCTGGCCATGAGTTGGGTGGGAATACTGCAACAGGAAGGATTTGGGGGGAAGAGAGATTGAAGTTAGAAACTTCTAATCTCTACTCAGCCTGATTCTTCAATTCTAGCGACCCAAACACCATCTTCTTCCATGGCCGTCCTCAATCCCCAAGATATCAGAGCACTTGGGGTGGCTGGATCCCAATGAGTTCAGTCAACCCAGGTATGCACCTTTGATATCTCTGCCCTTCTTGGATGAACTTCATTTACTGATCCCCCCCCCCCTCACCCCAGTCAAGGCTGCCAATGGGTGGGAGAGGGGGAGGGGTAAAAGTTCTAGGCCTGTGAAATTCTGGGCATTCTGAGAGCTACATCAAAGGACTGTGGGCTTAGGATGGGACTGAAGGTGGTAAACGGATGTGGAAGAACAATCAACTTAAAGGGTAGTTTCCCAGCCTCTCTTGGGGCTGAGCAGATGAACTTTTTCATCTGGTTCCCCTCTGCCTTTCACTTGGCCACCCTAGAACATACCAGGACTCTTGGTACTGACTTTATCTCTCTCTTTCCTTACTTTACCTGGAGAGATGAGAGCAGTGCATGTCTTTTCCTTTACCCATCCTAATCTTCTGCCTACCTCAGATCTATACTAGTTCTGCCTACTAGCACCTGCTGGTTTCATTTGCCCCCCACTCCCACCTCACAGAATGCATGACTTCCATAGTACCTCTTCTAGGCAGCCAGCCCTCAGCCCCTGGAAGGTGCTACTAGCAGCTGGCCGTGCATGGACTCCTGCTTTGAGAACCAAGTACCGCTGGTATACTCTTGCTTATCTGGAAGGAATGGGAAAGGGGATGGGGTTTGAAAAGGACTGGATTGGGGGTGGGGAGAGCAAGGGAAAGGGTGAATCCTCTTGTGAAGACCTGTGCTTCCCAGCTCAGGTCTAGGTGTCCAGCTATCTGTCTATCTGTACTGTCTGTCCATTTTTACCAGTGCAAGGTGGGGTCAGCGGCTATTATAGCCCAACCATATGCCATATCTCTGAGCTAGCAACAAGGGATGGGGATCTAAGGTGACAGATCTTCCTTAAGACAACCAGGAAAGGTACAGTCTGGAAACATCAGGAGACAACCCTAAACCCAGCCTGGGCTTTATCCTTTGCCCCCTCCCCCAAATCTATGCAGGGCTTCTGTGCCCACTGGAGTCAAAATAATGCCATTCCTCCCTGCCTGGCACCTGCCCTCCCTGTTGCCTTCAGGTCCACCCCAAACCCCCCTCCTACCCCTGCTTACCTGGACTAGGCTGTGTGGGAGAGGCCAGAGGGTTTCATAGGAACTTGGAGGAGAACATGTTTGTCAGGCAGGGCACCTGGTCTAGGACAGGACCTGGGACTGGATGGCTCCTTTATCAGCTACGCAGCTCACTCTGATCCCAGTCATCAGTCTCCTCCAGTTTCCTCCCCTCCCCTCCACCTCTCCGGGCCAATCACCTTTCCAGTAGCAGAGGCCCAGCCAGAGTGGAGGCCCAGCCCTCACAGAACACCAGTGGCCTGGACTCACCCTTCACATGGCTATTTACTCAACCAAGCCCTCCCCTTGTGCCCAGGTTTGGGCCCAGCATTAACCCCAGGTGTGCCAGGATATGGAGGCGAGAGTGGGGGGAGAGACTGATCCCTGGAGAAATTGCAACCTAGAGGAGGTTGAGGATGCGCCCTGGAAGGTAGGTAGGGTGGGAATTATCATCCAAGAACTGCTCTCAATCAGGCAGTGGGGCATACTGGAAAACAGCCGTGGATTTGGATTAGAGGGCCTGGGTTCAAATCCTAACTATGCTATTCTGTTACTTTGAGCAAATCATTTAATCTCTCTAGGCCTTAAATTTTCTCATCTATAAAATGAGGTATTGGACTAGATTCAACTTGGAATTTTGTAAATTCCCCAGCCCTTCTACCTCCTTTAATCTATCACTCCTCCCTTCCCTCAAGGCCATATCGGTCTGGATCTCTACCTTTCAAAGTATCCACTGGCTAATCTGAGAAACTAATACAAATTCATGTGCTAAAGGAAGTGGGCTCAAGATTCAGCCCCCCCCCTCACCCCCCCATTCCCTTTCCTTCCCTTCCCCCTCCTCCTCCCCTAGGTGAGAATGGACTTGAAGCTCTGGGATAGCGTCGACTCCCCAGAGGCCAGTGACCCGAGGAGGTGCTGGAGGTGCCTTTAGACTTCAGCTGAATCTTGTTGGTAATCTTGTTTGCTGTTCTTACCAAATTGAAGGCAGATCCTTTGTAATCTCCCCTCCACCCTGAGCCCCTGCCTCCCCATCCCTCCCTCCTCCTCTGGAGCCTGAGAGCCGGTACTTAGCAAAGGTAAGCATTCTCTTGGCCACAGTGACTGTTATGGTCACAGCAGGGGTAAATCGGTTGGTTGGAATCTGGGGGCCTGGCTTCAGGTCCAGGGAAGTCATTGCTCCATTTCCTGAGTCCCCTCTCCAACCAAGAGACCCCCCATCACGGTCCCTTGTACCCATCTCAGACACCAGGTGAGGCTGAAGAAAGCTGGGCAGTTCCACCCCCTTCTCTGCCAGACCCTTCATCTTCCCAGAAGCCAGGACTCCAGGGGCTGGAAGCAAGCAGAGGAATTGGAATCCCAGGAAAGAAAGTTTAGGGCTATTTTCTCTGTGATTGTGAAAACAAAGTCATCAGAAATGAAGATCCCTTCTCTATGCATGTGTATATGCTTATGCTCAGAGCCTAACCCATACAGGAACACTCATTCATTCCCCCACCAGAGGACCCAAGAGGGAGGCTTTTATATGTTTTACCCAGCACCAACACAGAGCCCACCTACTGGATCCTCCTGGGAGAGCTGGGGACCATAATCTGAGTGTCAACTTTGTTGTTGTTATTCAGGTGTGTCTGATTCTTTATGATCCCATTGGGGTTTTCCTGGCAGAGATACTGGAGTGGTTTGCCATTTCCTTCTCCATCTCATTTTACAGATGAGGAAACTGAGGCAAACAATGTTAAGTGACTTACCCAGGGTCACACAGCTAGTAAATTTCTGAGGCCAGATTTAAACTCAGGAAGAGAAGTCTTCCTGGCTCCAGACCCAGTGCTCTGCCCACTGCACACCTCCCTGTCCCTACCTGGTGAGTAAAATGGAGACTTCTATCCCTGTCCTCCCTCCCTTTCAAGGTTGTGGGCTGTTATCTCCCAATGCCTTTCCCCACCCCCCCCATTTTTTTCTCCCTAGCCTTTTCTTTTTTCTTTATCCCTCTTCTTGTTCCCCTCTTCAGGGGGGTCCCACCCTGGCCTCTTCTCTCTCATTCCCAGTGCCTGACTCTTGAGACTCAGGATGAGAAAAATATCACATATTTCTGACATGGGAAACTTGGAGTGCTTCAGAGGGAAGGGAAAGAATTGGAGGATCATAGGAACCTTTTAGAAGTCAAGCCCAATCCCCTCACTTTATAGATGAGGCCTAACGAAATCACCCGTCCCAAGTCACACAACTAGTAGAGAAACTCCAGTAGCAAAACAGGATTCGAACCTAGGTCCACACTGCAGCTCATTCTATGGAAGGGAGGGAAGAAGACTTGAGGGAACCATCACACACACACACACACACACACACACACACATACACACATACACACACACACACACACACACACACAACACACACACACATTTGGTTCCATCAAAATCCTTGGGTTCATCCTCCATGGGGGCTGAGTGCATTCTTCACAGAACTCAGTATAGGCTGCATCATGGTGGGTTTGTCTCTGGCCTAGGCTTTAAACTCTAGGCTGACTCAGGGTACTGGGCTCTGAGTTAAGCTCTGAACTCTGGGCTAGGCTGGGCTAGGCTGAACCAGGAGATAACTGCTGGAAGCAAAGGGTCGTAAATTTAATTTGATTTACACATTTTCCCTGACTGGGGACAGAATCATCATCCTCAATTAGGAATAATTCTGACACCATCCAGTCTTGGACATAAACTGGAGTGGGGGGCGAGGGAGGAGAGGAAAAAGGGAAAGGGGAGAGAAAAGGAAGAGAGGTGAGGAGAGGAGAGAAGAGAAGGTCTTTCCAGTCTGGATCATCAGTAAATATTGATGATCAATATTTTCCTTCTGGGGTAGGGCTCCTTTGCTCATTATAGCCCCGACCTAGCCCTAACCCTAAACAAATTAAACTGACCTTTCTTAACAACACTGTCTAGGTGGTGAATAAACTGAACCCTTCCCACTTTTATACAATATAGAGGAGCAGAGTGGTGGAAGTAGGAGGGGAGTGGGTGACACTGCTCCTTTAAGGTCCAGGTTTATCTGCTAGAGTTCAGGGCCACCCCACCCCTTTCCCTTTCTGGAGAGAGGTGACTAGTGGTAGAGAGGGAGAAGAGGGGAAGGGAGAATTAGGGCTGGAAAGAACTTGGTCAGGGCTCTTCGGAACTGGGGGAGAAACCCTTTTTTTCTGGCATAGTTCCACCCCACCCCCCAACCCCCACCCCCACTCTCAGGCTTGGATCACCCAAGCCAGCAGAATAAGGAATTCCCTCTGCTCAAAGTCCTCTCCTCTCCCCGCCTCTCTGCTTCTGGGAAGAGCTAGATATCTCCTTATCTGGTACTAGTACTAAACTAGTAAATTTCTAGTAAATTAGTAATTTCTGTAGTTTTTCACACTGAAGTTTCATCTCCTAGATAATAATTATCTATCTATCTATCTATCTATCTATCTATCTATCTATCTATCTATCTATCAGGTAGCTGGTGGGCTACCAGTGCTGGGTCTGGAGTCAGGAAAGACCTCGGTTGAAATCTGATGTCAATTTGTGTGACCCTAGGCAAGTCACTTTACCTCTGTTTCACTCAAGTAATAAACATTTATTAAGCATCTACTATGTGACAGGCAGTGTAACAAACTTTGGGGACACGAAAAGAGGCAAAAGATAATCTCTGCTCTCAGGATGCTCACAATTTAATGAGTAAAACAACAAACAAAATTTAAATACACACACATATGCTATATATATATATATATATATATATACATATACATACATATGTATGTATGTATGAAAAAAAGGAAATAAGTAACAGAGGTTAAGAAGGATTGAGAAAGGCTTCCTGTAGAAGGTGGGATTTTAGCTGAGATTCGAAAGAAGCCAGAGAGGCAATAGGCAGAGATGAGGAGGAAGAGCATTCCAGCAATGGAGAGCCAGAAAAAATTCCTGGAGCCAAGAGATGGAGTGTCTTGTAAGTGGAACGAGAAGGCCAGTGACACTGAATTTAAAAGTACATGGTGTGATTGCACATGTATAACCTATATCAGATTACTTGCCATCTTGGGGAGGGAAGATGGGAGGGAGGGAGAAAAAATTCAGAACTCAAAATTTTCTAAAAAATGAATGTTGAAAACTATTTTTACATGTAATTGGGGGGGAAAAAACTATTTCCAAAAAAAGACTACATGGTAAGGAGTAAGGCATAACAAGATTGGAAAGAAAGATTGAGGCTAAGTTATGAAGGATTGTGAATGCCAAACAGAGAATTTTGTATTTGATCCTAGAGGTGATAGGGAGTCACTAGAGTTTACTGAGTAGATCCTTTAGAAAAATCACTAGTAGCTGAATTGATTGGAGTGGGGAGAGACCTGGGGCTGACCAACCCACCAGTTGGCTACAGCAGTAGTCCAGGTGTGAGCTGATGAGGGCTTGCACCAAAATGGTGGCAATAGGGGCAGCTAGGTGGTGTAGTGGATGAAGCACTGGCTCTGGAGTCAGAAGGACCTGAGTTCAAATCTGACCTCAGACACTTGACACTAACTGTGTGATTCTAGGCAAGTCACTTAACCCCAATTGCCTCACAAAAAAAAAATGGTGGCAATGTCGCAGGAGGAAAGGGTACAATGAATTGGATATGGAGAGACAGGGTGAGAGATCGTGAAGAGTGGAGGATAACTCCCACGTTTTGAGCCTTCAGACTAGGAGGATGGTGTTGCCCTCTATAGTAATAGGGAAAGTAGGGATGTATAGTAATAGACAAGGTAGGAGTGAGGGTTTAGGAGAAAAGATAATGAGTTCAGTTTTGGACATTTGAACTTAAGATGTTGTGCTGGATATCCAGTTTGAGATATCTGCAAGGCAGGGGTGTATGGGATGTTCGCAGAAGACTAGTACCTCTGGTGTGAGGGCTTTCCAGACCTTTTTCAGGACTGCTCATCCACCTTTGGTGTCTACCTTTCACCCAACTCTTACCTGTGGCTCTATGTACCTGTAGCATGCTCAGTGACCACATCCCTGTTAAACCATCTCTGCTCCAGCTAACCTAGGTTGAGGGTAACCAACAGGCCTCAAACCCGTTGGTGAGTTAGGGGAATGTCTACCCCAAGCATGTGAAGACTTCCCCTGGTAGAATAGCTGCATGAGAATTTGTTCCAGTGGCCATGAAGGCAGCTGAAGCAGATGCTGCAGAGCACTCAGAGCTTGGTCAGATATCGAAGCGGCCAAAGTCATCCACTGCATCCTGGACCATCACCAGTTACTCTGGAAGAGAGAATGAGACTGATAACTTTGTGCAGCTCTGCCTCACCCCATGATGTCACCGGTCCTCTTTGAAAACAAAGGATAAACAACAGCTGCTAGGGAATAAGAGACATGAGATGTGAGTTCAGAGATCAGCAGAGAGGTGTGTTGCTGGCTGAGTACATTTGAAAGACTTTGGCATAGAGGTGGTAATTTAAATTCCTGGGAAATAATGAGATCACCAAATGAATTATATAGAGGGAGATGAGGAGAAGGCTCAGACCAGAACCCTGAGAAACATCTATGGTTAGATTGTGTGATCCGAAGGAGGATCCAGCAAAGGAGAAAGAGGAGACGTCAGATAAGTAGGAGAACCAGGAGATCTGGAATAGATCAGTGTCCCAAAAAACCTACAGAGAAGAGAGTGTTAAGGAGGAGAGAGTGATCGACAGTGTCAGAGGCTGCAGAGAGGTCAAGGAGAATGAGGATTGAGGAAACACCATTGGATTTAGCAACTAACATTATTGGTAACTTCGGAGAGAGCAGTTTCGGTGGAATGATAAGGTTGGAAGCCAGATTTTACCTCAGTTTCCTCAACTTGTTTCAGTTACCTGTTTGCCTCAGTTTTCCTCAACTGTAAAATGGAGATAATCATGCAGAGTTATTGTGAGAATCAAATGAGATAATATTTTTAAAAATCACTTAGCACATCTTCTGGCACATTATAGGCATTATATAAATACTTATCTACTATTTTAGTGAGCCTCAAATCCAAGGACAAAAAGGGAATATTGAGATAATTGCTACAAGTATTATTATTCCCCCCATCCCTTTATAGATGAGGAAACTGAAGTTCATTGAGTGAAGTCCTAGCAAACTCAGTGAGGGACATGATCCCTAACATCAGCCATGATGTAAGCCCCATGTCCCTCCTGTCCATCTCCTTGGTGATGAGAAGTCCCAAAACAGGGTTGTCATCACTGCACAGGTGAGAAATCTCTCCAAGCTCTCTAGTTACTATTATAACCCATTAGAGGTCTGTCATCCTTTGGCATATCTGAACCCGTCAAGAGCCTTTGTGAATTCTCAGCCTGTCCCTGCTCCAGAGAGCAAGATCCATCAGCTTACTCTTACATTGGTGAAACAGCACAGCCTGAGATTTATCCCCAAACTACCTCCCTTCTTGAGTCTGGTATTCAGAGGTGACTTTCCCTCTCTCTCCTCTCCCTAGTTCTCCCCAGCCTGAATAAGCCTTACCTTTTCCAGCCCACATCTTCCTCCCCCTCCCTATTTTTATCTGAGAGCTGAGGATAGATTTCGGAGACAGAGACAGACAGACTGACAGAGAGATATAAAGATTCCAATTAAAATCTTTCTCTTTGCTTTTTTTTGTCTCCTTGCTTATCATCTTGGGCTGGCCAGAGGCTAATATGATGGGGAATGCCCCCAGATAAGAACAGCCCAAGGACAGTTCCATTCTGCAGCCACCTCCCCATTTTTCAATTTCATGAGAATTGCTCAGTGCAGAGAGTGGAAATGTGTGGCAATCAGTAATTCTGGTTAGAGAAGGGGGCTTCCTGCTTAGATACTGGAATTGTGAGCAGTTCATCAGCGCCTTTCCATCTTGGCCCAAAGATGTGGGCAAGGAAGAACTTTTGTGAGAGGGGAAATTCGGTCCATAGTACAATTGTTACACTTCTCATGGCCTTATCTTTACAATCACCTGTTCTCACAGTCTTTCTGGATGCAAACATTGGCGAGGAAACAAGTTGGAGCATTGATGTCTTCCCATATCTTGCTTGCTCTCAAGATGGAGAATATATGCACTATTCTCAAATTCCATGCCTCTCTCTCTCCTATCTTTCACCTTCTCCTTCCCAGAATTCCCTATGAACCAACTTAAGTCACCTATGTACATAGCCTCCCAGAGTGTCTTTCCAAAAATCCAGTGCTGTGCATTCTAGGAATTTTTGTGTCTCAAAAGGGCTCCTACTTGTTATGGGGTATGTGCACACAAAGTCACTTAGACATAGCTATAGTAATAAATAAGGCTTCTATCTCCTTGTATACTAGAGGTTTATTCCTCCTCTCCAATATAAGTTTCCTTTTCCACTCCTTAGCATGGACATTTGGGTTACTATATTATGGCCCATTTGGAAAGGCATTGACCACCAAATGAAGGAATTTCAATGACTAGGAGAAATTGATGGAACCTTTTCTTTATTTTAAAAATCCTTTATAACCAGCAGGTGTAGCTGTGGAGCACAGAGTTTTGATAAGGAGAAATTTGCCTTCTGGAAAAGAGAGGGGCTGATTCCTCCCAAACATACCCATCTCCCACTGTGGACCAGCTTTGACTGGCCTGTTCTTTCCTTCTTGCTGGAAGTTCTTGCCAGAGGCTCCCTAGTTTAACCAGTCCCACTAGTTACAAATTTTTTTTTCCTATGACTCCAGGCAAAAGAAAAGGCCCAAGTCTAGTTTAAGCTTTGAAGAAAGAAAGAAAGAAAGAAAGAAAGAAAGAAAGAAAGAAAGAAAGAAAGAAAGAAAGAAAGAAAGAAAGAAAGAAAGAAAGAAAGAAAGAAAGAAAAAGAAAGAAAGAAAGAAAGAAAAGAAAGAAAGAAAGAAAGAAAGAAAGAAAGAAAGAAAGAAAGAAAGAAAGAAAGAAAAGCTTAGGTTTAAACTTTTTGGAATTTTATCAAAATTATTAGTAAAATCATAACTGTAATGCTAGTGCTTTTCCTCTGAGATTACCTATACAGTTTACCCTGTATATACCTTATGTGTTCAAAGATGTTTTCGAGGTGTTTCCACCATTAGCCTGTGAATTCCCTGAGGACAGAGATTGTCTTTTGCCTTTTTTTGTACCCCCAGAGCTTAGCCCAAGTCCTGGTGCATACTAGTCACTTAATAAGTGCCTGCTGATGATTAAATCCTGCCCTAGACCCATAGCTTATCTAGCTCCGGGTTCAAAATAATTTCTGACAACTAGGACAAAGTTAGATCTCCTGACCCTATGTAAATGTTTATCTATCGAATGTAGCCACAGAATATAGCCACAGTCTTTCGCTCCCTCCTGCCCCTTCCCCTTTTCTGCCATTTGTATTTTCTCTGGACTAAGCTAAAGAAAAAAATTCAGCTAAGACTGATATTTATCTAGGGAATGCCTGCCATAATGAGCTATTGGAAACAGCTCAGAAGGAGCAGAAACTTGAGATTTCAGTATCTCCCTTTTCAGACAGAAACCGAGGGAAAGTGAAAGAAAGAGGCACCCTAAGCCTCTGGGAATCTTGAGGAAGGACAAGTCTGTCACCTCTAAGGAGGGTTCTTTCAGCGAGTGGAGCAAGCAGAAAGCAAAAAGACAAGGTTCCAGCCATTCAATATTTACCATCTCCAAATAAAAGTCCTCCATTGCTCTCGGGCTCTCCCTCTCTGTTTCTCTCAGTCTCTCTCATTAAAAAATATCCATTACAGTAGAAGACTCCTCCCTCCAGCTACTTCCAATATTGAGGCCTGAAGCCTTCATACCAGTAGTTGCAGTGAGTGACCCCGAGTGAAGTGATGATGGACTGAAGTTTGTGGAGGAAGAGAAAGTCAGGAACTCTCAGTAACTTCGATACCTTTCTTTCAGCTCTTGCCAGCCTCCTTTGTTTTCCCCAAATCCTCAGCCTATCATTTCTCAAGCAGTGTAACCAGAAGCTACAGTCATCAAACTTGAAAATCGGACCCTAAAAGGAATGCTCATCACAACATACCCCATTTGCCCAGACTCTGTTTGAAGATCTCCAAGGAGAGGGAATTCACTATTTTTTTAGGCAGCCCGTTCCACTTTTGGATAGCAATGAGGTTTCTCCTGAGATCAAACCTAAATTGGACTCTTCATAACTTTCCCCCATTACTCATGGTTCTGTCTCTCAGACCAAAGAGAACCAATCTAGTCTTCCACTGAAGATGACTGTGCCCCCGAGTCTTCTTTTCTCCAAATGAAACAATTTCTTCAGCTGACTTTCATGTGACATGGCCTCCAGATCCATCACCAGCCTTCTTCACCTTATCGATGTCCGTTTTAAAGTGTAGTCTCTGGAACTGAGGACACTGTATCGGGAGAGGTCTGAGCATCCAAGGCTTCCAGACATGTAGGCTGTCTCTTAAAGAAATGTGATCCCCTTGGGGCAGCTAGGTGGCTCAGCGGATAGAGCTCCAGCCTTGGAGTTAGGAGGACCTGAGTTCAAATCCAGTCTCAGATGCTTGATACTTACTAGAAGTGTGATCCTAGGCAAGTCACTTACTTTGCCTCACCAAAAAACAAAAACAAAAGAAGTGTGATTCCCATCAGTGTAGCAGAGACTAGACTTTCTAGGATATTCTCGAGGGAAGTCACAGTTAAAATACTGGTTAGACTATGTGACCTCTGACCATCTCAGTATTCTAATGCTGTGATTCTCATCATCTCTCTACCTAGCTATCCCTTCTGAGCATTAAGGTGCTGAGGCAGAGGTGGAAGCTTAGAAGAGAAGGGGAGAGAAAAGTGGAAAAGCAGTCGGCATGGAGCTAACTACTCCCTGCTTTGAGTGGCTCTAGGCCAGCTGGCCCACAGGGGACACCCACCTCCCATATGGGACTTGCAGTGTCGGTGGATTCGGGTACTATAAAGGGAAAGCTTTCTCCTCCTCCCCCAGCTGCAATATTGTCGTTGACCACAGGATGGAAGTAAAAAGGGTGTCTGTGGGGTCTGATTCTTCAAGACCCTGTCCGGGGGTTTTCTTGGCAAAGATGCTGGAGTGGTTTGCCCTTTCCTCCTCCAGCTCATTTTACAGATGGGGAAACTGAGGCAAGCAGTGACTTGCAAGGGGCCACACAGCTAGTAAGTGTTTGAGGCAGATTTGAACTCGGGTCTCCCTGATTCCAGGCCCAGCCCTCTATCCACTGCACCACCTAGCTACCCCTAGCACACACACCTGTTAGACTATTTGTTTTATTAATTTTAGATTTTTTTGTTTTCAGTTCCAAATTCTCCCCCTTCTCTCCGCCTCTCATTTACCCATTATATACGAAGTCATGCAAAACACCTTTCTACGAGGGGAAGGATGTGATTTTCATATTCTGACCACCTGGTGGCAGCAGCAACAATGATTCATCAGCCGGATTTAGAAGAGGAACTGATCTCTCACGTCTCTGGTCCAAGAGTTAGGGAGATTTAGGTGTCTTCAAATACCGGCATGCATATGCCATGCACATGTAGCACCACGTCACACACATGGTGTGTGATGTCACAGTGTGACGTGGCATGCTGTGTCACGTGATGACATGCAATGCTATGCCGCAGCTGTGTGATTCTGTTGTACGTTGGCATGTTTGTGTCATGTCATGCATATATCAAGCCATGTATGTCACACCGCCACACCATGTCATTCATTTGGCAGGCATGTATCATGTTACATTTATCATGGCATGTGTGTGATATGACATCACATGACCTGACACAGGCATGATGTGACATCGCATGCTTCTTCTTACCCTTTTGTAGCCCTGGGCTCAATAAATGACTCACAGTTGTTGTTTGTTTTTCCTTGAATTTCATGATCAGCACCTAGTCTGTTATCGTCTTCTAGATCTGTGCAGAGGAGTTCTTAAGGCTTGATTCTGGATTCTCAATATCATTTCCAATTGGTGCCAATCAGGCAATGCTGAGGTTAGGGGGAAGGAGTTGGACAAGGAAGAGACTGAGCCATTATGAGCACCGCTCAGGGCACCCCAAAATAGGTGGGCTACAGATAGGGGCTCGAATTTTCAGTGTGAGCATGTGTACCTTGGAAATAGGCAAACCATCAACCAGAGCACGATTTATCGTTTTGTCGAGTGTCTTCACTTGCTCACAAAACGTGATGGAGAAAATGTGTTATTAATACAGCAGGTTAAACTTAAAAGTGTGTAGTGTGTACATTTTTTTCCAGTTAAGCCTTGACCGGCGCCCAGCTAAGACTAAAGACAAGTATGGACAGCCAGATTCTCGGCGGCCTTATGGGTATCCTGGGACCTTTGTCTCCTGCGGCAGCTATTTCCCACCCACTCCTCCTCTCATTCTGGTACCATTGCTCCTCTGTGTATCAGTCTCTGTAGCCTGACATCTCTTCACATTATGAACCCATCTGGCTTGCTTTCTTTCTAGTTGAATAGTAAAATAGCTGAATGGTGACTATGTTTCCTTTGTAATCTTACCGTCACCAAATAGACTTTCTGGACCTTGAGCCTTTTTCATCATGTGATGTCAGGCTCTCTGCCCTTCTGGACCTGTACCAGTTCATTCACTTCTCTGAGGTTTTCCATCAATATACTCCTCTTGTCTAGGAGGGATCCAAGCTTCCCACAGCACTTCCCCAAAGGGCTGTAGTTCTATTCCTGAGAACAGGCACCTGAGGATGAGAATATGGTCGGGCCGCTGCATGTGAAGAGAGCTATGGGCCAACCATGCCTGTGGCTCTTACAGCAAACTCATTTCCACTAGCTGACAAGCTTTGTGTACATGCAGGTGTGCAGCCACAGAAAGGGATTGCTGCTAGGAAGGCTCAGCCTCCACCACCTCTGGAACATCTCTCATGTTTGGTCTGTGGAAACAGTGTATTTATTATTATTATCATATTATTATATTATATTATATATATTATATTATTATATTATTATTTATCATTATTATATAGTGCTTACTATGTGTCAAACACTATGCTATTTGTTAGTTGTTCAGTGATTTTTCAATTGTGTCCGATTCTTCATAACCCCATTGGGGGTTTTCTTGGCAAAGATACTGGAGTGGTTTGCCATTTCCGTCTCCAACTCATTTTGCAGATGAGGAAACTAAGGCAGACAGGGGTAACTGACTTACCTAGGGTCACACAGCTAGTAAGTGCCTGAGGCCAGATTTGAACTCAGGAAGATAAGTCTTCCTGACTCCAGGCCTAGCACTTTATCCACTGCACCAACTAGCTGCTCCTGGCACATAGTAGATGCTTAATAAATGCTGGGTCACTGAGTGACTGGCTGACTAGGACATTGTTACTGTGCTAACTTCCTGGGGGTGATGAGTTGTTGCTTTTGGCTCAAAGACAACAATAAACACACGGGTTGTGTCGGACTGTGGCTGATGAGACCAATACGAGCTCGGAATGCCCTACCACAGGTCAGGCACAAAGAGTGCATGTGAACATTTGGGGTGGAGTCTCTAAATTTGGGTATGCTCAGTTTCCTTTGAGCTGTTTCAAGTCTGCTTCGCTCATATTGCACAGCACCTTCTCTGATAAGGGCACGCCGTACTGAGCGGTCCTGTGCCACTGTCTCCTATGTCACACAATCAATTCCAAAGTTCTTAAGAGAGACCTTGAGAGGGGCAAGAGCTCCAGCCTTGGAGTCAGGAGGACCTGAGTTCGAATCCAACCTCAGACACTTGACACTTACTAGCTGTGTGACCCTGAGCAAGGGTCACACCTTAACCCTGATTGCCTAACCAAAAAGCAGACAAATAAACAAAAAAAAAAGAGAGAGGGACCTTGAGAGTGTCCTTGTATTGCTTCTTCTGACCACCATGTGAACGTTTGCCCTGTGTGAGTTCTCTGTAAAATAGTCTTGGAACACTGCATACTGAAGAGCAAAATAACTGGGCCTCTGGACAAAAATAGCATACCCAGCAAAGCTAAGCATAATTCTGAATGAAAAAAAAATGGATATTTGATCAATTGTCAGACTTTCAGGTCTTTGTTAAAAAACAAAACAAAAACAAAACCAAGACAAAACAAACAAAAAAAACCTCTTGAACTCAATAGAAGATTTAACATACAAGAGCCAAGAGAAATATAAGGTACATACCAATGACCGATTACAAGAGACTAAATATATAACATATATTATATATTATATAATATATATAAATATATATAAGTATAGAATGTTTACCTTTTATGTGTGAAAAATTTAAAAACTATGTCTAAGATTGTTACCAGTAATTAGGTAATTTATAAGGGAGATTGGGGTAGACGTGAGTATGATATGATTTTAAAAAGTAAAACCATTCAAATACAGTTAAAAGAGGAATTATCTTTTACAAATGAGGTGCAAGAGGAAGAATCAGTACAGAGGAATTAGATGGGAGGGGGGTCTGTTAGTTCTGAAAACCTACTCTCATCAATACATATACATTTAGAAGAGTACAAAAGTCTTCTAAATTTAGAAAAAAAACTCTTAAGGGGATAGGGAGGGGGGAGAGGATGAAGGAGGGATCTTTAAAGGGGATAGGTTAAAAGGGGGATATAAAAGGGGGTTTAGATTTAGGGGAATGGGAGGATAAGGGAGGGACTGCTGGAGTGGGGATAGCTTAAGTAATAGGATAGTAAGGGAGCAGGCAGAAGTAACGTAGAGGAGGTGGGAGAGATAGGAAAAATAAAGTGCTAATCCACAAACATAGAAACAAAGATGAGCAGTAGACTCTTAGGGAAAGTATATGTGTGTATTCATATATATATATGTATATATATATATATATATATATATATACATATATATATGTATAAATGTATGCATGCATCAATACCTATATATAAATATATCCAATGTTCAACTGTAGCCTTGGGGTAGTGGGTAGGAAGGAGGGAGGGGGAAAAAAGAACAAAGTAAAAAATGTACAACAGATAATGAAAGAAAACCTACAAGGAAGCAAAGAAAAGATGGACAGCTTTCAACACAATGAACAATATTTAATATATAGGCTTTCTTGAAGTGAAGTTATTGCTATATAATTTGAATCCTCCTATGTTCTGCTGTGCACATGACATTTTTTGTTTTTTTCTTATTTTATATTTAAGTTTATAATGTTTCTTTTTCTTTTCTTATTATGTAATTAAGTTTTAGTATTTGTCTAAAATTAAAAAGAAAAAGAAAAAGAAAAATGAGCTAGAGAAAGAAATGGCAAACCACTCCAGTATGTTTGCCAAGAAAATTCCAACTGGGGTCACAAAGAATCAGACATGACAGAAACAACTGAACAACAAATAAAGCCTATGAGTGAAATTGATTGATTGATTGGGCATCTTAGCCATTATCTTAAGTAGGGTGGAGTAATTTGATTGGTGAATGAATCCACCTTTACACTGGAACACAAGTGATATCTAAGAAGATACAGAATGATTTAAGAAGGCTCTTTTAGCTCTTTTTATAAACAGGGGAAACCACTGGCATTTCCTTGTTTACTTATTGGGAATAGAGTTAGGAGGAATTAATTTAGGAGAAAACATTTCCAGAGAAGGGATGGAGAGAGATCTGAGGTATTTTGCTGGAAGGGCTGTCTTTGGCTGGGACTGGATAAAGACATAAAGAGAAGAGAATTATAAGACCTTTTGATACTACTTCCTGGAGGAGAGAAGGAGTTTCATGCCAGGAAACCCATCTTGGAAAGTTAGGAGCACATAGGAGGGCTTGAATAACTCTAATTACCACACTGTCCCTTTAAGGTGCTACTTTAGCATATGCCTCACATGGATCCTAGCCATCTCCCTAGAGCCAGCCTCTCCTGACTTTGTAAGCATTCCTTCTATTTCAGAAGTTTCTGCCCTCAAACTTTGCAAAAGTACTTTCTACCAGGTTATACAATTTTTCAGCTGTTTGCCAATACCATAATCTTGCTATCACATGACCAGTCCAAATTTCAACTGGTTCTTCCCCAGAGGAGCACAAATCCTTTCCCAAGAAGATTCCTGGCTTAGGCCTATGCTATCCTTGTGACACTAGAGACCTAGACTCAGCACTATTTGAGGGTGAAGTATTTTTTTCCTTACTTCAACAAAATTCTCAGTTTTTCCATCGTCTAGTCTTCTTTACACATAAAGGCTTTCAAATTTTTAATCAGCTCCTCAGAATGAGGGCTGGTGATCAGTTTCCAGGTATTATCACATACTGTCACTATATCAGGAATTTTTGAGTAATAAACTGTATCTGGTAATGCGTACGCAAAAAGGACTGAGTGGTGTCCCCGAGTATGACCTCGCTATTGATCGCTGTATATTTATTTAAATCTTTTACAACCCTTTTTAATGTCCTTATTTTTATGCTTAGGCACTGCTCCTAGGGTTGAGAAACCTTTGGGAGTTGTCATATCTATTGCTTCACAAAATTTGCCCCAAATTTTGGCTTCCATTTCATTCAAACACTACTTAAAATTGTATTCAGAAAACCAATAGTGCAAAATCAAACACCATATATGCATTTAAAACAACTATGCAATTTTTGTAATATAACCATGCTAAGGTTCTGTTCCTTAGCCACAATTCTTCTCTCATCTCATTTCATCTACCTGGGGCCTGGAATGCTCTTCCTCTTCACCTTTGCCTCCCCGAATCCCTGGCTTCCCTGAAAACTCAATTGTAGTACTGCCTTATTCAGGAGGCCTTTCCTGGTCCTCTCAGCATCTTGAGCTGTTTCCTTTAAGGTTAATGTTGTTGTGTCTGACTCTTAGTGACCCCATTTGGGGTTTTCTTGGCAAAGACACTGGAGTGGTTTGCCATTT